TGAAAGGATAATAATTAATGACTCGATGTCTAGCTGGCAGTCAGTATCAAGTAGAATGCCTCTGGTGCTGGTTTTGTTCACTATCTTGTTCAACAACCTAAAAGATAGGATAGAGTGCACCCTTGGAAAATTTGTAGAAGACACCAAGCTGGGGGAGTAGTAAATACTCTGGCAGATGGGGCTAGGATTCAGAGAGGTCTTGTCAAATTGGAAGATTGGACCAAAAGAAATCTCATAAGGTTTAATAAGAAGAAGTGCAAAGTCATGCACTTAGGACAGAACAATCCCATGCACCACCATAGACAGAGAACCGACTGGCTAGCAGCAGCTCTGCAGAAAATGACCTGGGGGTTACCATGGACAGTAAGCTGAGTATGATCCAACAGTGCGCCCTTGTTGTGAAGAAGGCAAATGACATACTGGGCTGCATTAGTAGGAGAGTTACCAGCAGATCAAGTGAAGTGTTTCTCCTCTTCTATTTAGCATGGGTGAGACAACATCTAGAGTAGTGTCCAGTTTTGGGCTCCCCACTATAGAAGGAATGTGGTCAAATTAGAGAGTCCAGTGGAGGGCAGTGAAAATGTTTAGAGGGGGGGACTGAGGTGGGCTAGATGGAAAATTGGCGGGGACTGCACTATACATCTTCTGGCCAAACATACTTATTTGGTTGGGCTGGGAGCACCGCACCTCTCCTGGTTTTGGGTGGGAGTGGGGCAGGCTTAGCTGTGTGTGGTTGGCAGCAGTGGCAGCCCAAGGGGGAAGTGGGGGGCTTGGATAGGGGTGGCACTGAGAGGGGTGGCTACAGGGGGGCTAAGGCAAATATTGGGTTGGCTATAGCACCCCCACACCCCTCCCCACCGCTGCCCCTGCTTCTGAGGAGAGGGTGAGGGATCTGAGCTTTAGTCTGCAGAAGAGAAGACTGAGGAAGGATTTGATAGTAGTCTTTAACTACCTGAAGCAGGGTTCTAAAGGAGATGGAGCTAGCCTGTTCTCAGTGATATCAGATGACAGAACAAGGAGCAATGGTCTCAAGTTGTAGCAAGGGAAGGTGAGTACCTTCAGTGCTGCAATTGTACTTATTTCATTACTAACATGCTTTAGTTAATGCATATTAGATCTAGTACTTCCATTCTGAAGTACTAGGAAATGCAAGTTAGCCTGTCTTAATGCACATTAACTAAAGAGCACAGTTTTAAGTGTGCTTAATGCACATTAGCCTATTTTAATGTGCATTAACTAAATAGCACATTTTTGCACATTTTTACACATGTAAGAGCCTCAGTGCTGGGTGCTTTGAAAAGTCCCCAGTGGTGCGACGCATGTAATTGTATGAGCGGCAAAATGCGTGTCTGCACTGAGAAAGTGGTGGCAGCGTGCTTTTAAATTAAAACATGTCAGAGGTGTTTTAGTTTAAAAGCACACCATTGCCATTTTTGCACACAGATGCGCATTTCACTGCTTATGCAACTGCATGTGGCATAGTGCAGTTTGCCTCAGCTCACGTGCGGAGCTGAAGCAATGAACCTCAGGCACATTGGAGGACAAAAAATATGTATATAAATGCCCACAGTGTTTTTTTTAGTGACGTTTAGTGCTCATTAAAATAGATTAATGTCCATTAAAGTGTATGTGTAGATGCATCCAGTAATAATAGTTAGAAATAGATGGACTGGAACCAAAATCCAAATTTGAACATGCCCTAAACTTTAGGTGCTCATAAAAGAGACCAGAATTTTGCATCTCTAGTTAGCCTTCAGCCTTGCCAGAGCTGTTACACTTTCCCTTCAAACAGCAAATGGTGCTGTCTGCCTCAAGTAGAATCAGAATCAGAAAGACTCGTGTAGACTGGGAAGGTCGTGCCCTGAAATAAAAGCTGGTGTCCTCTGTTGGTTGGCGAAAAGGTCTTCATAGATTCTCTGCAAGACATTGTATCCAAATCTGCATAGCTGTAAAATTGGGTGAAACACAGACTGCGCTACCAGGTAGATATTGAAATCTCCTTTGAAATTTTCTAAGAGCATGTACAAAAAAAAAAGATTTTCAAAGGTGTATGTGATCCTTTTAAAAACTCAACTTTAATTCTTGCTAGAAGAAAGGCATTCACTGTCCACAGGTATCTAGGAGGAGGGCATTAGGAGGACTGTCATAACCACATCAAGCATATTCCTTTAAGCTTTTGATTTCATTTTTTGTCCTTAAGTTTCTCTTGAGCAACACCACCAAAGAGAAAAAAAGGAATCCCTTGAGTTCATAGAAAACTCAAAGAATTTGCTATATGTAAGGCACAGGCATTACATTACAAAATTTTGATTTTTAATTGTGACCACAAATATGTTTTGTGAAGACGCACAAAATACCTCAAACATAGTGAGGTGTCTGTGTGTGGCTGTTAATGAACTAAGTGAGCGGAGAAGTAAACAGGATGTGCCTCATTTCCCCTTGATGAGCTTTGCTGTACAGGATCCTGGAATTTGCCTTCAGGTGAAACGTTAGGGATTGTACTTCCTCTTGGGAGCACCAATTCTAATTAAATAGCATACAGCCAAAATCATTGCTCTTTGTTCTGGCTTTATTGAGAAACACGTGAATAACAATTTTATGGCCTGGCAATAATACTTGTATAATATTTGCTGCACATTACTGCTACATACTGTATTCATTGTAGGTATAGTGTTATAGATTATACTGAAGAATCCTAGTGTCTGCCAAGAACAACAAATCACAGTTAACAACGGATGATACTCATTACAGTCAACTTTTTGTTGCTTTGCTTTCAATCTAGGCAAAGCAAAAATAATGCAGTCTTGTTAATTAAATAGTGATGGGTTGAATCTGTTTAAGCTGTTAGGAGAAATAGCATCGTTATGAAACACTACATTAGCATAACATTTTTGGTCACTGAAAATCTATGGGATATATGTATTTCTGCATACAGATAGCACCTCAAATCTACAACCCTAGCTTGAAAGTCCTATTGACTTAAATAGAAATTGCACCTCTGTAGCTATTCTTGATTTTCTATTATTTCCCACTCCCCTATATTTAAGACATTTAGGTTATTCACTCTTACAAGAAATTGAGCTAAATCTTTGTATAATTTGATAATGACCTAATGGATTTGAGGATTGAGATAGGACTGAAGAGTTTTTGATCTGGATCTAAATCTTCAAAAAATATTTAAAAAAAGAGAGAACCCACTGTCAAAATGAGATTTCTCTTTGGGTTTGAATGCCACTAGTTCCCAAATTTGATGTTGTTCAGATCATGAATTTGGTTCCAGCTCATCTATTTTTTCTGAAGTGTCTGTTGTCACAAAGAACAGGGTGAAACCTGCCAGATATGTGCTGAGAACCTTTAGATACACTGTTTGTTGCTTAGCAAGCATGAACAAGTCCAAGCCTGCATCCCAAAGTAAGCCCATGAGATATTATATGATGAAAATGATTACACATAAGATTGCCTTCCTTTTTCAGAATTGCTGTCAGCTTTGGGTGGTGTGTGTAAAATTTACTTTGAAGAATTCAGATGTAATGATTCATGGGAACACTTTTTGCACTGCCTTCAGTGGGGTGGGGGTCTTGATACATTATACTCATGTGAAAAACCCATGAATCTAACCTGCATTGTCCTGTGCTAAGTTTAGCCATTTGGTTTTTCAAAGGCTTCTGTAAATCTTTTTATGTGGTTGTGATTTGTTTAGATTTGCCCTCCATCAAATTTCTCTTTAGGCATCAAAGGAAGTCAAATGGAACTGCCAAATTTCACCTGATTTTATTCAAAGTCACAACATTGTGCATCATTGATGGAGAATTATAGACTTGTTTCAGGTTCACTGAGCAACTGTTCTCTGAGCACAAGGTACGTAATGAAATTTCAAGTGATGTGGTACAGTTCAATATTTTGTTGCAAACATCTTGCACAAATCTGAAAAAAATTCAGGAATAAATTTGGTCTCTTTTGGTCCAAGGAAGAAACATTTTTTTATACGCTAGATAGCGAGTGTGTTTGTTTGCAAACTGCAGGGCATAATTTACTATACTAAATAGCAATGCTTTCATGAAATTGGAGCAAGCTTTTCCAAAGCAATTAATGATTTGTGGATGGGTGCCAAGACAGAAATGCCTTAAAGCACTGGTGCTCAACCTTCCAGCCTGCAGTCTGTATGAGTGGCCACAGGACAGATCCTGGGCACAAGCGTGATGCATTATCTAAACCTAGTGCATGCAATTCTGGCCTCAGAGCAACTCCATGTGTTGGCCCAGTCCCATAGCAATGTTAACACTTCCAGAGTTCCAGGGCTTCCAGAGCCATGGCAATTTGATACTGCCACTGCTCCCACACCACCAAATTTCTGGAGCCTCAGGGAACCTCTTGGGCTAGATGACATGGCTCCAGAGCCCAGATTTGCACCTTGCGCCAGAGATTGAGCACTGCCTTAAGGTAGCCTAATTTCAGAAAGTGTTGAGATTTGTGTTCTAAAAATTGGGCTCCCTCTAGGTTTGGCAACCAAAAATCAAGGCATCCAAAAGCAGTAGTCATGTTTGAGGACACCGACCTTAATGTTTGTCTTTAAAACAGCAGACATTGTTCAATTAAAAAAAAATCTTGATGCATTTTTATCTTGTAATTGCTCAGAAAATAAATCATGCTTGTGGTTATACAGTCTTAACAAATTTTCCTTGTAATCATATTTGACAAGGCATGTTGGGTGAAGGTATATTTCTCTGTCTGTATTTAGTAATTAGGTAATGGCCACAAGAGAGCACATAAAAACTGCAGGTCTTAATCTTTAAATGTAAAATAGGTCAACTCTCTGCTATGCATACAGTTTTCCAGATGTTCCGTATCATTTTAATTATATTTTATTTAACTCTCCAGGCAGCTTTGTTACACTGGCTTTAGCACAACGTGATATAAAAAGGGCAAAAGCTGCATTATTCAACTACAGTGAAGCTTATACATGTGCTTAAAAATACCACTAAAAAGTAAATTTTACTTACAAATGAGGCAGAGCTAGATGTTTGGATATTAATGTGATGGGCACACATCTCCTTTTGGCTTGAGTGGAAGGACTTCTTGGCATGCAAGTGTTAAACTCTGGGCGTTGTTTTCTGTTTTTCTTTCATTGTCACACTTTTGGTATTGCCACTGAAAGCTGCTTGAAGTAATATTAGCTAATGTGATCTTAGAATGGTTCAACATAGCAACAGTGTTTTGCTCACAAAGATCATATTTTTCTTGGTTCATTTTATTTTACATTAAGTTCTGACTGAGGTTTCACTGCAGGAATAAAACAAATACACATGCACGGATGGCATCACTGTAGTGGTGTAGGCATCTGTCATTAAAACATCAAATGGTACTAAAGAAGCAGGGTTTCATAGCAGCATTTATTACATTTTTTTTCTTTATACACTGCCTTTTTATACACTTGAACAAAGTCAGTGCAATACTTTCCCTACCAGTTTTGTCTCTTCTGTTGATTTTAACCCAACACAAAAATATGCCCTTCTCATATGCTGTGATACAAAACTGAGCCATACTGGTTTGCATAGTCCCATGTTTTTGCTCCACAGATATTATAAGCACTGCTCTGGGACAAAGAGAGTTGGTTAATTGACATGGGGATCTCTACATCGATTCTTAGCAGCAAAACACAAAATATTTAATAAATGTTATGTAAGTACTGTAGTTTTGATTGGTAGATATTTTGAAGAAATTTAATCTAGGGGATATATTTCCCCCTCAAGTTAAAATCAATTCAAGGAAGTGTAAATCAAATTTGGGGCAAAAATAACATTTCTGGCTGGGAGGCTTACGGTTATTAAAGAAGTCTAACAAAAGTAAACAGAGGTGAATGGATAGGGATTATCACCTTCCCAAAATGTTTAGAACGGAGCTTATTCAGATTGTTCTACTTACA